TTTTATTAATAAAAAAGAACTGAACAGAACCGAACCTGTGAACCCACCTCCCTCCGAACCACAGCTGCTCATCATCTTTAAAGAAAACATGAATTCATGAACTCACCTGTTGGTCGCACTCTGGACACGATTTTGTGGCCATTTTGACCTTCTTTGTTTTATTTGTCGACATTATTTCGTTTCCTCCGGAGATGAACGAAGATTAACGAATTAATTTCACCTCTTTGATCCACCGAAACTTTAACTAATCTTCTCCAAACATAATTTATCCCATTCAGGTAAAAAAATACACTTTGTTGTGGCCTAAAATGATAAAATATACGAACATTTTAACGACAGTGACCAACGGAGGAGTTGTGCGCATGCGCACTGAGTGGTTAGTGCAGATGTTGCGTTCAGGTTCCTTCAGGAAAAATGTAAACTGTTAAGTTTGTCCGTTACGTACTGATCGTTTCAGTTTGTGTWTCCATGTCTTTATGGTTTCATGTTTTGTATTGTTATAATTTCTTCATTTAAGATTTAATGTCGTTTCATTAAACGTGACTGCGCATAGACAGGAAAAGACACGAGAATTGTGTTATTCACGCGAGAACAGGAGCCGACATGTTGTAGGACAAACACAAAACACGGAGCTGTTTGGGTCTGATGCTGTGTGAAGAAACCAGACTTCTCATGTTTAARACTTTTTCATTTCGTTTTTTAATCATTTTCTTTCAATGAAAGTTGTTCTGTTCTTTAAATGTTTGCTTTTCAGTTTTTACAGGTCTCCATTAGAGAATCCCAGTCTTCATAACTGGTCCTCAGTAATGAGGATGGTCCATGTGAGGGACCTGCAGGACCTGCAGCAGGATCTGCAGCTGGACCTGCAGCTGGACCTGCAGCTGGACCTCTGGACCTGCAGCTGGACCTGCAGCTGGACCTGCAGCAGGACTTGCAGCAGGACCTGCAGCAGGACCTGCAGCTGGACCTGGACCTGCAGCTGGACCTGCAGCTGGACCCTTTAACATAATGAACTGACAGCTGATTATCACATTTAGGGCTCATTTGAATATTTCAGTATAAAAACCTTTTTTTTTAAATCTAAACCATGAAAAGAATAAAAAGATACAAATGTTTAATATTCCTTTTTATTTTATTCATGTACATGACAATCAGGTCAATGTAATCTGCACTTTTAGAGTTTAAACACATTTAATGCAAAAAGAAAATATGTTAATACAAAATATATAAACCTTTGTGAGGACCTCACAGATCTGACCAACAGGTTGTGAATTTAACTTTAAATTTAGTGATGACAGAGACGACTGAGCCTTTTGTCTCAGACTTTAACAGAAGACAAGTGGTTCATCTCAAACTGATGCTTTCTGCTCTGCAGCTTCCTGATTTACCACAAACCTTTCTACAACAGACACTTCATGACTGGAGAATTAGACTGAAACATGAGGTTCAGCAGCTTATTTACATCGATCTAAATAAAGTTTTAATTGAATATCTGAGAGAACAGCTGTGAACGAGCAGAGAGATGAAGAGCTAACAGAAACGAGAAGGAATGCTTCTTCAGTTTGCTGCAGTTGGACATGCATTGTTCATCCGTCCAATCAGAGCTCAGAAACAAAAACAACCAATCAGAGCTCAGAAACAAAAACAACCAATCAGAGCTCAGAAACAAAAACAACCAATCAGAGCTCAGAAACAAAAACAACCAATCAGATGGTGCAACCAGGAAACGACGCAGAGAAAGAACCTGAAAAGGACGACTGGGTTAGTTTAGTTTCTGAATCGCAGTGATGTTGGCTGTGAGTCAYGATACAGGAAATGGACCCAGTTCAGAGAACCAGACCCTCGTAGGCGGGTCCCTCAGACTCAGGGGACTCTCTCTGCAGGCGGAGGTGCTCCAGGGTGTTGTGGAAATGTTTGTTGATCTGCTCCGTTTCTTCACTTGCTTCCAGGTTTGGAAGATCCTCCCTGATCTTCTGAATCAGCTGGTTCAACACCTGAACCGTCACCTGAGGGGCAGTGGGAGGGGCATGATCAGGGTTGAGTTAACATACAGACATATAGAACTGGAACTACTGAGAACCAGTTCAACAGTGGGTCCAGAGTTTTAGATTTACAGAAACATTTACAGAATGGATCTAATTTAATCTGTGTTAATAATGTTGAATGAAACCAATCAGATCTGTTTAAATAAGAGAACAGGCCCCTCCCGTCACTTCCTGTAACCCCTCCCGTCACTTCCTGTAACCCCTCCCGTCACTTCCTGTAACCCCTCCCGTCACTTCCTGTAACCCCTCCCGTCACTTCCTGTAATCAAAACCTGTCACTTCCTGTAACCCCTCCCGTCACTTCCTGTAACCCCTCCTGTCACTTCCGTCACTTCCTGTAACCCCTCCCGTCACTTCCTGTAACCCCTCCTGTCACTTCCGTCACTTCCTGTAACCCCTCCTGTCACTTCCTGTAACCCCCCGGTCACTTCCTGTAAAGAGGGCGGTCTTACAGCGTCGTTCTCCCGCTCGTAGAAACAGATGTATCTGTTCAGGATCTCTATGAACAGCTGGACCTGCAGAGACGAGTCCATGCACTGGTTGGCGATCTTCAGAGCTTTCTTCAAACACTCCATGACACGCTTCCCGTCCCGGATCTGAGGAGGACCAAGATCCACCATCATCATCATCACTTTGGTTCAGGGCTTCTTAACCTTTTTGACCTCAGGGCCTAGTTTGTTAAACATGAAGCATCACCAGACCCAGTCAGTCATTACCATCAATTAATAATTATTCTAAATCTTGGTTTAATTATGACCCCCGCTCGCCAAGCGTAAGTAGGAGTCATTGTTTTCTTACTGTTTATTTATTTTCCCGAGCCCCAGGTCCAAAYCAGGGATGGAACCCAGGACCTTCTTGCTGTGAGGCRTCAGTGCTAACCACTGAGCCACCGTGCTGCCARCAGACAGCAGAGATTAGCCTGTGTCTCACAGGAACCAGGTCAGACCCACCTCTTCTCCGTTCTTGTCGGTGCTTCTGCCGGACCAGAACAGGTGAGCACAGGTGCTGACGGCTCTGCACTGGTCGGGTTTCTTCAGCAGCTTGGAAGCAGCCAGGGCGCACTGAGTCCTTAAAGGCTCGTGGTTCTCCTCGCTGAAACATTTCATTCGCTCAAAGGTGCCGATGATCAGCGTGATGGCTGCCAGCTGGGCTTTGGAGTCGCTGATCTCATCCTCGTACAGAGAGAAGGCCTGGAGGGGGGCAGCAGGAGGGGATCAGGAGACCACCTGTCCACACTTCAACTCAACAGTTTTATTCTCCATCCTACCTGGGACATGAACTCGTACGCTACGGTTTCATGGTTCTCAAAGCCGATGTCCCCCGCAGCCAGCGCCCCCTGCAGGAAGAGGCGCAGCGGCAGCTCAGAAAGCTCCGCCTTGATGAGAGCGCTGATGGTGTGGTGAGCAAACGAGAAGATCTTCTGACACTTCTTCTCCCACTTGTCGTCCTGCAGGAGGACGCAGCCATCATTTAACCCCAGACAGAAACCTGAGCATGAAGTGAAACTGAGCTGTTGGTGGTTTTACCTGTGAGGAGTTCTCCTTGTACCTGAAGGCCAGCTGGTAGGCAGCAAACACCAGAGGAGGCAGGGTGAAGCGGATCCTCTGGTTCCCACCGGCTCCAAAATGTTTCCGGGCCGTGTTCAGAATCTGAAGCAAGATTTAAAGAATCAAAAAGACAAGCTCACACAAACACACACAGACACACACACAAACACACACACAAACAAACACACAAACAAACACACATATAAACAAACACACACACACACACACACACACACACACACATAAACAAACACACAAACACACACACACAAACAAACACACACACACACACACACACACACACACACATAAACAAACACACAAACACACACACACAAACAAACACACACACACACACACACACACACACACACATAAACACACACACAAACACACACTCACACACAAACACACACACACACACACACACACACACACACATAAACACACACACAAACACACAC